GAAAATTATTCAAGATTCGCTCGAGCTTCGCGCGTCTAATGGACGTCGGACGTCGCGCGGAGGTAATAAAATCTTCCGCGTCGGGGGAGAAGCGAGTCTTTTCCTTTCCCGGCGGCAATATCAATTTTCCTCGCACGTTTCCGACGTGGCCGCGACAGCGCGACTGAAGTGAAAGAATTCTGACACGACGTAAAATTGGAGAAAAGAACGGACCGGGAGGACAACGGGAGAAGCGTGCGAGGGGTGGGAGGGAAAGGGCGCGGGTGGGCGATGCAAAATGGAATGAAAATTGTTAGGGGATGCGGAATGCTTCGCGAACTGCGCCACGGAGTGGTAATATCGTCGCGAGAGGCGCGACGGGGGGACAGGCGAAGGGACAGAGAAACGGGGCAATCCAGGAAGAGAGAAAGGACCCCGGGCTTCCGGCTTTTCCTTGGAAACGACGAGAGCAGCCGGTCTCTACTCCGCGTGTTCTTTTTTCGTTATCCCATCGCTAAATTGACGTCCACAGTCGTGCGCTCGAGCGTCACTTGTGACGGAAAATTTCAAGCCGGGGTGACTGGCTCGAAAGCGACGCGCGACACACAGAAATTTTTCCTTAACACGCGAATCGCTCGGCTCGAGAGGACAAAGGGCGACGATTGCAGTATTTTCGCGATTTCAAGAGTGGATCCGCCAGACGCGCGCCGAAGGACGACATTTCGATGAATAAATGGAGAACAGAGCGCGCCCGCGGAAATATCTCGACTATTCGCGACGGAAAGTTTAGAAGCGAGTGTGGAGATACTTCCGCGGCAAAACCGGAAAGTGTGCGAAATGAACACGTCGACGGAACGATCGCATAGTTAAATGGGAAGAGAGAAATGGCGAGATAGACAGGCGGAGTCACGGCGATAGAATCGCACTCGGTTCACCCGCCTCTCTATTCTACTCAAATTATTTTCAAAGATTATTATTTTACGATCGAACGAGATTCAACGATGAATTTTATCAAATCGAGTCTTATATTAATTTTATCAGCGTGAAAACACGTGTAAATCTGCACGTATTACACGTGACAATATTGGATGTAATTCTTTTTTTTTTTTTTTGAGAATTTTGACCGACTCGCATATTCGCCCGTTCTCTTTCTCCATTTTCCTTCGACGAATGATAGATACATGCATGATCGTGCAATCGTGAGAATCGGTTTTCGATTGACTCGTCGACGGTGTACGGAAAGTAAAAATTCCACTTTATTGACTGAGATGTGACAAATCGCTGCTGCGTCGCGCGCAGATTTGTTTCGACGAACAGTGACAAGAACAAGTCGCTCTTGTATCGACTAACGATTTGCTTCGTTGCTGCTCGTTTTGCCCCAAGTCTCGATGATACGATTCGTCTCTCTCTCTCTCTCTCTCTCTCTCTCTCTCTCTCTCTCTCTCTCTTTTCGAGGCATTAATACTACATCTTACTCTGTCTACAAACTAATTTCAATTTGTATAAAAAAAATATCCAAAACGTCTCGTACATTAATCGTATAAAATAGAAAAGCACGAACACTTCACGTATTTCATTTATCTAAGTCTAAAAATTTTTAAAAAGTTACTTTAAAGTTTTGAGAGCGTTTTCATTCTTAAATATCTGTAAAAGTGTCATCGAGCTTTGGCGGAAAACTGAATACTATCGATTTCCAGGAATGTGTTAACGTCCACTCGTGTATAAAATTTACTCGTCGTATTGATCTCGCGGAAAAAAAAATACCGCTTTTCTTGTCACTTTTTCGTTCCGCATATATCACATTATCTATCTTCATCACTGTCCGTTTCTATTTTCATTCTATTTTGAAAATCTTTTCTTCGCTTGCAGAAATACGTCCATACGTTTCACTGATACTTTCGTTGAACACTTAATCGTCCGCACGCAAACACTCATTAATTAACTACGATTAACTACGTAGCCGCTAATATCATGTGTCTTTGTCTTAGTCTATCAATTTCTCTGAGTAAACCTACTTTCTACGTTTGTAAAGTGGGGTATTATGGCACACGATCGATCAATGGATCAGCGGGAAGCGAGATAAATCACGTCGTCCTGTATCTACGACTATTCCGATAGCGAATTACCCCAGTTTACGCTTCTATAGCAAATAATCGATGTCGCGATCTTTGGAATGTCGGTTTGGCCCTGCGATGGAAGTACAGTATGTATATGTAATGTCATGCGGTTGCGTAATATTGCTCTAACGTTCTCGTGGGTCCTGCAATTCCGTTTTGCTGACGCTGAAGGGTCAGCGAGTGTAAGTATCGCGCAAATATAAAAATAGCGGAAGAAACGCGAAACCGTATGCGTGTCTGTGTGCGTGTGTATGTGTGTTTTTATATGCTTGCAGCACCACGGGAACTTAAATTCTACGCTGTTTCGTCTAAGCGGCACTTAAAATGCAGCCGTGCCTCGTCTGTCCTATGTAAATGTATGTAATCTACGTACGCTAATTATACAAAATATCTAAGGTAACGCTTACGTAATCACTAAAATCAATACCCTGTGTTTGTTTGGCACGATAATCCACTCTAGTGGCATTATCGGCGTTATTTCAATAGAATCGACGACAAAATTGATTTACATGCTCGCACACTTCGTCGGGCATCGCGTAAATAATGGAAACAAACTAAATGATGCTAAAATTGGAATTTGCCTTCCCAGTCTCGATAAAAAGTTCATAAATATATAAATAAAAAATTTATAATTATTATATTTATCATTAATACTATGTACCCTGCAATCGTTTCATTAAATCTAAACGTACGATGTGTTCGACGACGTTATCCAATAATTCATTTGCATTCGATGTTATGGAATGTTTGTATATGCGTACACATATATATATATTTCTATCTATGCCATGTATATGAGCGAAAATATCGCGGACCGTCAAACATCACTAAATTTAGTAAAAAAAAAAAAAAAAAAAAAAAAAAAGAGGAAAAACATTCGCGATGTGTTACGTTGTGCTATTTTAGTATACTAAAACAGTTGTTCATTTAAATAATGGAACTGTTCGGATTCGCAAATACATAAAGAGAGAAACACAATGTTAAAAAATATAAAAAAAAGCTTTCGGTCAAATAAAGTATTATTTTTCGTTCTTTGTGTTTCGAGTGTCAGACGTGACGTGACATAATGATGGCAAAAACATCAGAGATTCGCGGATCGATTGATATTCCCGTTGCGATAAATCCGAATTACGAATATGAAACAACGCAATGTCTCGCTCCGGTTTTTCTCCGCTTGGTCGCACACGCAAGCCACTCTGCCGATTCGTAAATTGACCGCTGTGTTAATCTAAACTAACTCACGCACTTGATGGCATGCTACCAGGGACCGATGGTCGCAGTTCACGTGGCCGATTTCATGATGATTAACTGCTTCCGCTCTGAATACCGTTTTGCGTGGAGAATAATGCGCGTCACAAAACAGCGTCGGAATTAACGCGGCTCTCGACATAAACTATTAATAACGCCGATAACATTGTACATAATCCAATAATATGCGACTGCGCGATAAAGAATCGCAGCAGAGCGCTTTCACGACACTTTCGTTTCCACATCGCATAATCATAATTTCTTCTCACAAAACGCGCCTCTTATCGCGAGTTATTTTTACCGACTTGCTTTATTCAACGCACTTTCCTCCGCGCGAGCGGTTGTTTTACTCCTCGCGGCTTTCTTCGCCGCCAAGTAAGAAAACGGGTCGGCGATGATAAGAGAAAGGGGGGACTTTGCTTCGGCTCGAAGAGAGGAACAACAGAAGAAAAATTGGTTGTGTGAGAGAAACTGAGGAGGGGCTGAGGTGAGCGCGATGTTTCTCTCCCGGGTGACAGAGAAAAGATGAGTACGTGAAAAAAAAGGGGGGGGAAAAAAAAGATTATATAATAATATGTATATAAATGTGTAACAGGAGAGACAGTCTTTAATCCCGAGCTGGCTGAACGACGAGCAATTAGTTGTATGTAAATAAAATATTCTGGACCACCCACCTTGCTCTTCTGCCGGGATCATCGAGTGCCCTATATAAAGAAGAGACGCGAGAGATCCCGTTCTTTTTTCTTTTCTTTTTTTGCGCGCTCGGCGAGACTTCTTGCCGAGCGCCCCGTTTAGGGTCAGTGTTGGACCTGTGTCACGCAGGATCCATCACGGTGACCGGAAACCCGACACACGAGCATCACGAGCGCTGCTTCGTGTCGCTTTCGCGCGGGGACGCGACTCGAATGAACGGAGACGACTCTGGATGACGATGAGTTGACAATTTTCAAGATTTGTCGTTTCCGAAAAATAATCATACTTTGAACTAATTCATCATTAACTAGCGTAACGTCAAATTTGTGAATGTATTTGCTATTGTTTTTCACTCGTTTAAAAAACTCGATCGATTGAAATTGAATTTGATCGAAAGAATAATTGGCATCCTACGTCACTGGACAATCTCGTAATATACGTAATTTATTCAACAGCAGAAACTTCAATTAGCTTCGCGCGGAATTAGATTAGCAAATTAATCGGATTGTCTGAAAATCGATATTTTGACACACTGTATAATTTTTACGAGAAATTATTTTCGTCGACTCCGTCCATTCGACGGCGCGTCTCGACTTGAAATCGCGATGGAGGCTATTCCGCCGATTCGACATGTGTCGAAGCGTAAACGAAAAAACAAGGACCTTCGTCCCTCCTCTGTGTGGCTAATACGTGGCTATTCGTTTTGGCTTGGTCGTGGTGTGTGGCGGCTGTTGGAAAGACACTTTTAAATAAATACGTTATCTCGAAAAAGTGTTTCGCGCGACAAGAGTGTACTGGTGATCCGCGCGCTCACAACGAGACGAGGGAGCGCGGGGGTCCGTTATTGTCGTCATTGTCGTTGCCTGCTTGGTCGTTGCCTTCAGGAGAAACCGTGACAGTTTTCACGGAACTCGAAGTAGAGATTCAGCAGTGCCGGTTCCGGCACGTCGTGGAAGCACCTACCCTCTGGCCATTGTACGCACACTGCAACAAAACAGAAAACGGACGTTATTACACAGCGATTCTTTTCGCAACAACGAACGAGATTTATATTCGGTAAAACTCGGCGTCGCGGGCGCAGCGGCTACTGTTCTTTAATTTGATTTCGCGATTACAGCGGTGTTCTTTATTTCATTACGGACGCGCGAGGATCGCCGGTGATGCAGCTACCGCATTTGTCGCACGACCGGCGAAGATAATTAATAGGGTATTTAGGTGGCGCTGGCAATTACCTGGCGTAACGCGGTAACGGAACGGCATATATAGGGCAGATGGTTATTTGAATTAAGCCGAAAATACCGTGTCACCGTTAATAGTCTGCTAATTAAGCGCGCGGGTTGCTTCGTTATACAAAATATTCTGCTATAAAATAACGCGATCGACGGAACCGTATATAATTTTTTAACGCCACGCGTGACGTTATCGCGCTTTTGTGTATAAATTATTGTGTAATTAAATCGTTTCTTTCTACAGTAAATTGTATAATTTAATATTAATAACATGAAGAATGTGTAAAAACAGTTTGGCTAATTAATGCCAATTTGAACTAAATAAGGTAATTTTATGCGGGCGGTTATCTTGCAGCTGTGATTAAAACGCTTGTTTTCATCCTGTACAAAACTGCACTAATAATCGCTGGGCGTGGTTGATTGATTGCCGCTAAGGTTTTAGGGCTCAAGGTTGCCACAAGCTCATTCTTCTCACAAGCGTAAATTCTTCGTAAAATTAGTTCTCGGAAGAGAAGGTTTTTGCGTTATAATAAATTATCCGCATGTTTAGATGAAAAAGGATGATAATTTCCATGTTAATTCCTGCATGTTGCAAAAAAAAGGAGAGAGAGATAAAAGAGAATCATATATTTTTTGACAGAAAATCGATAAACGTTGAATGTCGGTTAATATTTAACGTCAAATATTAAATCGAGACAAGTCAGTAATTGACAAATACTTTATCACGTTAATATCCGCTGCTGTGCAATTATTTGCACAAGTGACATATCCTTTTTACACAAAGATATTAATTGTATGAGACAATATTACAGATTCGACTATCGCCGTTTCATCGCGGTGACACTAATCTTCAGACGAACGAAGAATACGCAATACGGATGAAAAAAAATTTCATGTTCGAAGGGATAATCAGTCTCTCTTTTTCTCTCTCTCTCTCTCTCTCTCTCTCTCTTCGTAATTGACCGCAGGAATTATGTAACAAGAAGATTGGCTCCGTCGAACGATCGTGAACTATCGGCGGCGCACTTTCCTCGTCTTATAAAACCCGAGATTGCAATTTTCTTTAGCGAAAGCACGCTCTGATTTTGTTCCCGCCGAGAGATGAATAAGGCGGCATCGACGAAGTTTGGTGCCGAGCGGGTGATTTATGGATCGTTCTTTTTTTTTCATAATTATGCGCATAAAGATATCTTTAAAATCGAATCACTTTTACAAAGTCAAAAAAATATGCGCCCGCACGAATCGCAAAATTTCCTTTTATAATGTCAACGATAACGAGACGGGAGACGAGATCGTGTGAGAATTTTGCGAGCTCTACCGACGTTTGCTTGCGTTCCGCGCGCATCAATTATTACACAGTTTCATGAAATCCAGAGATTTCTGATTAATTGGTAACTTAATGCCCTTGTATAATTAATTGTGAAGCGGTTCGATACTATCAATCTCTGTACGTGCTACGTCAGAACAATCAATACGTTCATTATTGTTTAAATAAATTAGATCAAATAATCTCGATGAATATAAGTCCTTAATATAGATGAGATATATTTGAGCAAATACAATCTGATATGACGCATAGAAGCAAGAATCGGTCCGTGATTTGCGCTCAGCCTGATGACGCATTAATGACGCGTAATCTACATGTTAATGGAATTTTAAAAATATATATCGCCTGTGTATTGAAAAATTTCAATTAACATAATCAAGTATGCAATTTCAACACATAAATACTTAAAAAAGATGTACAATAATTCTGGACATGTAAAACGCCCTTCAGCGCCAACATCCGCGTTGATCCATCGACGTTGATTAGCGCGACGGCGCATTAATGACGCGTGATCTACATGCTAATGAGATTCCACGAAGTGTACAGGTCGCACAAAAAAATTTGACCGAAGCGATTACGCAGTTTCAACCGTAAGTACAGTCGCGCGGAAATACAAGAGGAATAAAGCACGGGGATAATTTCGGGTTTGCGAAGTCCTTGGACGCCGCGCGTCTCGCCACTCCGTCGGTCCACCGACGGCTGGTCAGCGCGGCGGCGCATTAATGACGCGTGATCTACGTGCGCGTAATGGGGCGCGATTTCGCGTTTGCCCAGCGGCGGCCGTGGGCTCTGACGGACGCGAATACCAGCGGCGGGATTGATCGTGCGATCGCGTGCCTCGCGGCTGTATCTCCGGCAAAGCAGCTGTAATGAAACGGAAGGTGGCGAATTACTCGTCCTTCGCCCCCCCCCCCCTCTGTCCGTCCCACTCCGTCCCCTATCGCGACTGCCGACGGGCGGGATATCCGCGCGGATGACCCATAAGCGAGACACCGGATGCGTCACCGGCTGTATCCATGTTGGATTTAACCACCCTTCTCTTCCTCCTCGCCCCCTCAATCTTTTGATTTTTCGCGAAATCACGCGGTACGATAAAAGCGGAAACGAACAATCGGATTGACGGCCCTCTGAGAGCAGCGCGCCTTTGAATCGAGCAAAATTGATTTCGAACAGAATTGGACAATAGCAGAGCGAGCCGTAATTCGCGATTATCGAAATTGCCGCGTTCCCGAAATTGAGGAAGTTGAAAACTCGCATAAATGCAGACTGCGCGCGAAATAAAGTGTGCAACGGTATTATTATATCTGACAAATATATATTTCATCCGGATTTTGTTTAGAGAGATTATTATCGTAGGCAGATTACTATCGCAAATCCAAGCATGCGTTCGCGCGTTCCTACGTTTTTAATTAAAAACACACAGTTTTTAATTAAAATTTTATAGAATAATTTGTTGTTCATATTAAATCTAACTCGTGTACTACGCTTTTTAGAATAAACGGAGTAAAGCTCGTTTGAACATAATAAAAACTTTTTTTAATAAAAAAAAAAGTAAGCGCGTAGGCAAACTTCTGTTCATTCGCTTTGCCTGCGAAAAATGCCTAGTAGCACTCATAGTTTCAGATTTAATACTTACGATACACTAATTTCTTGCTTCTAAGATTCTGCAAGTTTTATTTGCGAAAAATTAGCTCAAATTTACACGTCAAGTTTCTGCAAAAATATTATTGCGCAACACAGCGACATAATACATTCCCACCGAAGGAGTAAGATACGTCAAGTAAAAAAAACCAAGTGAGAAAAATAGTCGATGGAAGGAACAACGACGTTGTTTTTTCAAGATCCGAACACTTGCTACGTGTTATTTCGCCGTTCAGAATTTCCGATCCACCTCACGCGTTCACGTGAATGGTTCAGCAAACTTCATCGATTCATGTCGCACGCGCATATGAGAAAACAGAGACGAGGCAAATTTAATAAAAATGAAACTACGACAGAAGATAATAGCGAAAAATAAAAATAAATATATGGAGAACGTTTCGCATTGCATAATCACTTCAACCTTGTAAAATAGTTTCGTTAAAATTTCAAAAATTCTGCATAAAAATTATAGAATATATAGAATTATACAAAAAATTGTGAAAGAAAAAAGGATTTATCGGATTGCGGAATAATATAAAAATTAAAATAATAAAATAATAGAATAACGTAGAATATAAAATTACAGAATAGTAGAAAAAAAAATGTAAAAAATCCATTTTTTAATTCTACAATATTTATTTTTAACAACTTCATAAATTACTGACCGATATTCAACTATCGTTTACATAAAGAAGTTCAGGAATGCGGAAAATAGCTAGTTTCGTCTTGCACGTCCATTCACCTGCATTGATATGCTTGCTATCGTGGGGTGCCTATTCATTTGCCAGCATGTAGCTACTCGAGGCGAAAGTGCAATCGCGTTTTGCGGAGTGGCAGTCGTGTCGAAGAAATCTGCATTTTCGCCCTATCTTTACTGCCGTTTGCGGCGACAGCCGTACAATGCGATTTCGCCCAATATTTCGGTATCTCGAATCGGCGCATCTTTAGAGATGACGCGAGACCCGTGAAAATAGACGCGGCCGTTCCCACTTCCGCGCGCGATATACCTCTTTACAAGGCACGATCTTCTTCGGAACCGCGCGCGCGCGCGGTTTATTTATCGGGCGTATTCGCGACGCGGACAATGGCTGCACGCTTTGCATAAAACTTATCGGATTTCGCGACGCGACGACGAGCGGGCGCATCGAAAATATATCATGCAAATATTACGCAAACACGTTGCGCGGTGGCGCGTGAAATTCCGTCCGCACGTCTCTTCCCCGTCGCGACCCTTTGTGCGCTTCTCGTTTCGCGAATTTCTCGCGCGAAAATGCCGACGCGCATATAAAACACGCTGTAATTCCATTAAACCCTCCGCTTCCGGTATTAACCGCCGGCACGACGATGGCGGCTGAGCACGGCGGAAATAAAAATAATAAAAATTTAATAAAAGCTTCGCGCGCGCCCGGTCAAACTTCTCCTTTTCGCGCACTTGTGCGCGCATCTTGCCGATGTGTCGGCAAACATCCCGAGAGCAAATAAGCGCTCGAAAAGTTCGGAAAAAAGTATGCGACCTAATCGCAAATAATCGCGACCAGTTCTCTTTTCGCTAAAAGCGTTCTTCGTTTCAACGATATCGCCCGCCCCGCTTTGTAGGCGCTGCTGCAGCGGTAAATCGGATTGAAAGAAAGGCGCATTCGTGCTCGTCAGATAATAGTAATCCTATTATCAAGGCAAAGGAAAGAAGAGGAACGATCTCTCCAATCTTGGTCAGAAATTTCTTTTCACAGCGAAATATTTCGCTGGGTCTTACCGGGAAGAATAATGATAAAGAAAAAGAGAATACA